TCTGTACTTTTTTGACGTAAAGATGAAGTCATGCTTAGTGACACAACGTGTGCAAGATGTGATATGATTATATGTGAAGATGTGATTATACGTTTGTTTGTTTTTTTAGTCGAACCAAAAGCGCGATGAATATCGAAAATGTGCCACGTCATTTGCAAAACTGAAGATGACGATAATGCTATTAAAAGGGAAATAACTTACCAGAACGGAGAATGGAACGGAACGAACGTGTTTTGCATTAATAAAAAGTAAAAAGTTATCTGTTGTAGGACTAATTGACTGAGTATCAAGTTGAAGTTTTCCCGTTATTTCAATGATACCATAACTTTGAGTAGATCTTGCTTCTCGCGGCAGTGTTTAAGACAGTACGAAATGGTAGGAAATTTTTTAGCCAGCAGGATTATCATCAACGGTCACTCAAAATAGTCTTTGATATTACATCCTAATTAAATGTGGAGCTGCTACAAGATATACTGGAAACCTCAGTCGTGAATCTTTGGAGAATGCTGCCCTATAACTTATTAGGTTTACTGCATAATCTTCCATGATCTCTTCAAACGCTTCTCTCCGCGCTTTTAACGTATATTGGCCAAGTATACATGATTTGAAAGTTCTCTCCATATCCCACAAAGCACACTTTTCATCATATTTCTAAATTATATAGGATTTTTCTATTTACTTTGCAGAAAAAAAAGATTTCACCTGATATAAAAAGGTGTTTTTGACCACAAGTTTTACCACAAAATACTGCGTCTTATCTTTATCTGCAAAGCAGTTTAGTTTGGGTGACATTGAGTCAATCGAAATGCAATGGTCAACATTGCTTGGGATATCCTATCATTCAAGAAATTTTCGATGCCATAATACAAGAATCACGAGATATCCTCTCCAGAAAGCTTTTGACCAATTCTTGAGAAACATTCCTTAACGCTACACTGCCTATTGGCAGTTGGTTGAAATATATGATTTCAGGGCAAGATCTGCATAGCCCAGGAACTGTTGATCCTCCTTCTAGCACTCTTCTATCTTGGAATCTAATTTACTTAGAATACAGAGCATGTTCGTTATCAGAAGTGAGACACGGTGAACGTAATTTTAAAGAGCAGGCTTTCAACTTAGAGTATATAGTCA